CCCCTCTTATATGTAGACGATCTCTGCATATTCTCCACCGCCGCACTTGATGGAAACTTTGACCATCTGCAGGATGAAATAAACAGACTAGACTCTATAGCAAGGGATAGAGGGTATTCCTTTTCAGCAACAAAATCGACGTGCATCCATTTTTGCAGACTTCGCACAGCACATCCGCAGTCTCTCTCACACTGAGAGGACAAACTATAAAAGCTGAAAACTCTGTTAAGTTCCTGGGCATTATTTTTGACCACAAGCTCTACTGGAAGGATCAAATTGAACATCTCACAACTCGTTGTAGAAAATCTCTCAACCTGATCAAATGCATAGGAAATACCCGATGGGGTTCAGACCGCGAAGCTCTCATAAAGGTTTACAAGAGCCTAATCGAGTCTCGAATTGACTATGCCAGAGTTGTTTACAATTCTGCAAGACCATCCAAGATCAAGGCACTTGAAAGGATTCAATGGCAGCCCTAAGAGCGGCTACAGGGGCTTTTCGTACGAGTCCTTCAAGTGCCGTCCTCTGTGATGCTGCAGCAATACCCTTACAATTAAGAGGTGAAATGCAAACTGCCATCTATATGACTAAAATAAAATCTCTTACCAGACATATTAATCTGAGTATATTGGAAAGCGATAACGAACATACAAATCGTCCAACGTATACACGTCCAGCCAGAATCCGTAGCCTTGAATTCCAACAAGCGAACAACATATCAATAAGGGATGTGTGCAGAGAGCCCCATACGACACTCCACCTTGGACTAGGTCAAAGCCACATATTGATATTCGCCTTTCTGTATTTCTTAAAAATGAGACAGCACCCCAGGTGTATCTCGCTCGTTTCAAACAAATTACAGATCACCTCCACGATCATCTCTTCATATACTCGGATGGATCTAAGAGCAGTACCGGAGTGGGAGCATCAATAGTAGTTAACAGTGTTTGCCACATGTGGAGTCTGGATCCGATTTCAAGTATTTTCACTGCAGAATGTTATGCCATCTGGCAGGCACTTCTATTCTTTGCATTGTCATCTAGCTTAGCGTGTTCGATAGTATCAGACTCTCTGAGTGTGATCAGCTCCATAGGAAATAACTTCACCAAGGATGAAAGAATAAGTCGAATCTTGAACTTAACCAGCTCACTAGAAAATGACCATAAAAAAGTCCGTTTCATATGGGTACCTAGTCATGTGAATATTATCGGCAATGAATTGGCTGATGCAGCGGCAAAGCAAGCAGCCACCATGCCACCGGATGAAGGCATTCCTACTCCGCTATCTGACTATGTAAAACACTTAAAAGACACCACAAAACAAGCATGGCAGCACAAATGGGACCTATATGACGGACACATGAGATCCGTCCAACAAGTATCGAAAAATGGACTTATCCGAAGCAACTGAATCGTCGGCAGCAGACAGTCTTATGCCGACTACGAATTGGCCATTGTAAGTTGACCCATGCGTACCTGTTGGCCGGCGATCACAGACCACAATGTCTAGCATGTCAAACAGACCTCACTGTTCAACATTCTGGTGGAATGTCGACTCTACAGTGATCTCCGCAGGGAACTACAGATGTCTTCCAATATACAAACCCTGCTCAAAACGGAATGGCCAAAAGTTATGGATTTCCTGCTGCGCTCGGATACATACACCAAGATATAGATACTCCTATTTCGTTACGCCTCCAGCCACTTCCACATCAACATTTTACGACGCATTCTCACCTACATCCCATACCTATCTGTACTTACCTTATTATCCTTGTACATACTGGACAGCTCTGAAAAATAAAATGGTATGCACGTGGATGTCACATCATTAGACAACTGAAGAGGCAGCTTAGCTATTAAAGATCTCAGTCACATGCGGAGTAAATATTGAACTTGTCTGTATACTATACTTACTGTTATTTATACCATATATGTTTGTCCTGTCTTTCTATTTCCATCTCAGATCTACCCCTGAGATGTTAGGTTTGGAAAAAAAAAAAAAAAAATGACCTAATGAGGCAGGAGGGAAGCGGCTAATGACCTAGAAGTCGATGCCGCTGTGGGTAAAAAAAAAAAAAAATAATAATAATAATAATTAATAATTAATAATAATAATAATAATAATATAATAATAATAATTATAATAATATAATAACAATAATGTTAATAATAATAAATTATAATAATAATAATAATAAATAATTATAAAATAAAAAAGAATTATATATATAATATAATGATAATATAATATAATAACAATAATAATAATATAATTATATAAAATAATAATACTAATAATAATAATAATAATAATTATAATAATTATAATAATAATAATAAGTAATTATAATAATAATAATTATAATAATAATAATAATAATAGTATTAATATAATAATCATAAAAATATTAAAGTAATAATAATAATAATTATAATAATAACAATAATAATTATAATAATAATAATAATTGTAATTATAATTGTTGGAACGCGTACTAGCGTCACCCCGCCGCGCCGCTACTGGCGAGACGACCAGACAGGTTGCCTAACCTAGAAGCTTGTAACCGCCGTCCTGTCCCCGCGCGCCGCACCTCGGAATGCAGTCAGTAGTGAGAGTCAGTCGTGGGAAGTAGTCGAAGTACAACAGCAGCCAGAACACGCGCGCGGATCGCGGAACGCGGAAGCCCGGTCTACACCTGTAGCTTATCTACCCATTCATGTACAAGTACTGAATAAACTGTTCTGAACCGAAGACCACTGCGAGTTGAATTGATCTGCTTACCTATCCTCAACAGGTTACGTGCCCAGAAACAGTGCTACGGACATTGAACAATTATTGCAAGTGCTGAAGATAATATAGGAAGTGTGTGACTAGTGTTATCAAACATGAGTGTGGCAAAAGTATCCTGTATAGACTCGCTTAGCAGGGATAACTACGACGTGGAAAATACAGATGAGGGCATTGCTGGTAAGAAACGATCACTGGAGTTATGTATCTGGCGAGATAAAGCAGCCACGGATAGATGATGGGGACGAAGCATCCACGAGAGCTGTAGAAGCCTGGACTAAAGGTGACAGCAAGGCGATGTCGGACATAATTTTGTCAATAAGCCCCTCAGAAATCAAACAGGTAAAGAACTGTAATACATCCAAGGAACTGTGGCAAAAGTTGGAGGGTATTTACCAATCAAAAGGACCCGCTAGAAAGGCCACATTGCTCAAACAGCTTACACTGCAACGTATGGAAGAGGGACAGGACATACGATGTCATTTAAACTCATTTTTCGATGCAGTTGACAAGTTAAATGACATGGATGTAGAAATCAATGCAGATCTATTAGCGATAATGCTATTGTATAGCCTGCCAGCCAGTTTTGAAAACTTCAGGTGTGCAATTGAGTCTAGAGACGAATTACCATCCCCGGAAATTCTTCGAATAAAAATTATAGAAGAGTATACTGCGCGGAAAGGCGACGTTCGAGAAACGGAAGGCGCCATGTTCGTGAAGCGGAATCAGGGTTGCCAGACCTATTTCTATAAGTCCCCCAGCCTAAATAACAAATTCCCCCAAAAAGCACATCTTTAAAAAAAATCTCCCAAAACTTTCAAAGATATTTATTATTATTATTATACTTTGCAGGTTGGCTAAGATTGTCTTATGAGTATGGTATTTATGGTAATAACACTAATAACTAATAACAAGTAACATAAATATATATTTTTTTACTATCATAATATACGAGTAGTATGCTACAGCTCCGAGAATGCATTTAAAACTTCTTCCTCCTCCTTTTTGCAATCATACATTCTTTCAGAATTGAAATATTGCAACATATTTTCAGTTGGTTGAAAATCTGTACAACCATTTTTTAAATTGCACAGGTACCATCGAACTCTCATGATAGCATCTGTACTATGAATGCCAAGCGATTTCTAAGTATGTTTTTTACCACATTTATAATGGAAAAAGCTCTCTCAACTGAAGCATTAGAAAATGGAAGGCTAAGTAACGCAAGAGCTAATGATGAAATATTTTTATATCTAGGTTCCCCTGCTGCATCGACGTTATTTGCCACCTCAACCCAAAACTTTTCTGTATCATGCAGGTTTATCCAATTTATTCGAGGAAGTGATTTCCATTCTGCAATTGTACTATCAAGGTCAGGACATATTGTTGAGAAAGATAAAGCAATATTAGTTATTTCAGGTTGACGTATCTTGGATGTAGCTAATTCGGGGTTAAATGAATTTATTTTCTCCAAAATATTCATACTTTCAGGGATTCTCATTTGAATTTGTCGACATAATTCCACTAAAAAATCTTTACATCTAGTTCGCACCATTAGTAGTTCATCTTGTTTAATTGCTAAGGATGACGCTTTTGAATTGAACGAATATCCTAAATTTATCAATTCTATATCCATAATGTAATCTTCAAATTTGAAATCAACGACGTTATTTTTGAAATTTATTATTTATTATATTTTCATAGGTGGTACTAAAATACTTAGGTTATTGAAAAGTAATAAATTCAAATCTTCCATTAATTTCAGTGGATCTGCACACTCTGACTGAAACAGTTTATTAACTCTAATTATTTCTTTCAATGTCCAACTCAAAAAGGTGAAATATAAACATTAGTTTGGTCCGATAACATTTGAAACAGCTGTTCAGCCATATAACACCTTTCATTATCTTTTACTATACCAAAGTGTATTTTTAATGCATCCCATTGTTCTAGAATTTTAACTATCGCATTGTATCTGGCTAGCCATCTGGTTCCTGATAGTTGGTCAATTTTTAGTGGTTTTTGATCCGTCAGTGTTTCAAATATTTGTTTGTATGCTATTTGAATTTTTGTACTACAAGAGAACCAATTGTGGCATTCCTTGATTATAAAGTCCAAATGACGAGGTAGAAGTTTAAATGCATACTCTGCTGCCAAATGCAGAGAATGACAGACGCACTTAATAATAACAAGTTCATTATTCTTTGCTTTCAAAAAGAAGCTACTGAATTATGCGCTCCAACCATAACATTGGCTCCATCAACACCGATTCCTATTAGATTGCCTAATTTTAAACCGTCTAGCTCCAGTTGTTTTGTCACCGCAGCCGAGATAGTTATGGCATCTCCCTTTTCAATTTCGATAAGTTTGTAGAAAGTCGTAACAATCTTAGTTTGCTTTTTACTAAAATATTTTATCATAACGCATAGCATTTTTGTGGAATCGACTGCAGTGCTCATCTATAATCAATGAATATTTACTATCTGCAACATCCAAAAGTAAGTCATTTAGTATTGAAGGAGCCAACACATTCAATATTAAAGATGTACATTTAGTTCTGTGTAATTTAACGTCATTTAATATTTCAGATGATTTATCTAATTTTTTTAAAAGTGATCCAAGATGATCAATTGTTGCAAGTGAGCAGTGCTCACATATGAATGCAGCAATTTTTAATTCTGCTATTTTCCTGCTGGCGGTCAAACCTTTTTTCATAAACTCAGTAATTTTTTTACTCGGGCCAGCCAAAGATCTTTTCTCCGCCTCTTGATGTTTCTTACTTTTACCGTGAAGCAGTAAGTCTTTTTTGTGCAGCTAAAGTACATTTACATATCTTACAAAGCGACTTTGTCTCATCTGCTAATACAGGACCAATCCATCCTATATGGAATGAATAATTATAATTAATAACCCACACCATCAAAATTTCAATAGATTACCTTTAAGTTCAGCATCGGATTCCCAAGCAACTCGGTATTTTCGGGTATATAACGACTTCTTTTCTTTAGGCATATTTAGATTGACACGTACAACACTAATTTGGATAAACCATGCGTATTGAACACTCCAAAGTAAAGAAATATAGCCTATAAAGTTAATGATAGGAAAGGAAATAAAGTTACACGATTCTCTGGGTTTCACATAGATGAGAAACACTTATTTAATCGCGCCAAATAACGCACAAATACAAAATAATATTTTGCCGCTATTGAAGGAAACTGTAATGTAGGTGCTTCAGAATAATTTTAATAGTTGTTGAAAGATGGCAGGATTATCTGTAAATGAATTTATATTTATTCAAAGTTGTTCTCGAATTCCAATAATTCAATTGAAACTTGAAAATTGGTCGGACGACAGAATGTCTTCTTAAAATCGCACCCCAAAAAACCCCAAACGGAATAATTTTCCCCCAAAAAATCCCCCACGCATTGCATACCCCCAAAAATTCCCCCAAGCAATGAAAAATACCCCAAATTTGGGGGAAAATCCCCCAATCTGGTAACCCTGAGCGGAATTATGGGAAAAATCA